GACTCGGTTAAAATTGGTAGAAAGTTATTGGGACTATTAGGTTCAAATTGATGTTTAATTAGATTCAAATGATTTAACCAGTAGGTTCAAATGATTACCTGATTTATAATAATGCACACTACTGATGAGTCATTACATTATATCCTCAACTTTTTCAGTTAATTAAACTTAATGATATTGTTAATGAACGTCCCATTATCCTAATGTCTATGTCTTATAAAATTATTGTTACCACACCATAATTACAATTAATGGACCACAAATTACCTTCATGGTCCCATCTCGAGCTTTCATCACGTGACCAAAGTAAGTGAAGCTCTTAGCGTTAACTCGCTCTTGCCGTTTCGACTCACAATTGATGCACTCAAGAGTTTTGTTACCATATTATTGCCCTGCTTGGGGTATCAGGTGTAAAATTCTTAACTGATAAGAACTAAATTTCAAGTCGAATAATTTGAATGAAGTCAATGCTGCTTTCTTACATTACATATTCTATTACATTATTGGAATTACCGTGCGATGTCGTTCTATTACATACTCCACATTGAGATATCAGATGCATAAGTGACTTTACTACTGTTGCCTTGTAGACCATGCAGCTACGTCACGGACCTTGATGCAAGTACTAAGCTCAACATCTGATGTTGGGTGAGCGATCTCTCACACTTTGTTTTTATTGAAATCATACACTGACAGCTCGCATTGCGGATTTAGAGACGGAACTCTATACTGAAGCATCACTTGGTCTGCTGTGTGGCTTAATTTAGCGGCTGCAATACTAGTGTGTGATGCCCACACATCCGTTCCATCACGCGTCTCTGAAGTCTTCTTAAGGAAATGTATAAAGTTTCATGTTAATAAAATGTATTACGCAACACTTGATGCGATATCTCTTCAGTAGATCATTCAATATTCATCAGTGCTCAGAGGCTGTATTAGCAGAAATATCGCTCGTGATAACTTATAAGTCATTTCGTGCAGTTAATCAATAAAATTCAGCCGGCACAGCATCCACAGTTCTTTAAGTTCTATCTCTCTTCCTAATTACTGCTTCACCATCGTTTTGTTTGAATGAATATGCTATTTATTCTTAAAATGTATTTACGCTGTATAATTGATTATTCTATGGTACTCTAGATAAATCAATAATCAATTATTATTAAACTCAAGTTTCAACCTTACCATGAACAGAGTCTCCATGCAGTGTTTGCCGAGGAACACGTTTCCTCAGCTCAGACTCACGTTATTTACATTTTTGCGCATTTTCTCATTTATGGAAAAAATGCACTATTAGCTCGCCATGTCCGTCTGTCTGTCTGTCCGTCCGTCCGTCCGTGACCTCAAGTTTTTGTCGACGAGAAAATGCGCTCTCTGTCACTCACTGCAGTGAGTACTGAGTTATATTTTTTTAACTTTCCAAAGTAAAGTCTTCAGCTATACTTTCCTATTCTCCGTCAAGAGTATCTTCTTTTAACTGATTTCTTCTATATATCTAATTTGCCACCTTCTAACAGCATTAGCACTCAGAAGTATCAAAATTTTAGGTTTGTAAATTTTGTCATTCTTTTTCGTGTCATTTTGAGAAATATGGAAAAACGCCATATTTTGCTACCATGGCATTCACTGCAAGATTGCAATCGCCTCGGTCATTCTGTATATATACTCCAGTATATGAATATTTCAATTCAGCCGCCTAATCAACTGGCCCGACCAACGCCAGTTACAATTGCATGTCTTCAATTTCAAAAAATATCAGCTGAATCTATTATTGCTTTATTTTTGTCCGATTGTTAGAGTCCAAAATTCCTCACACTGCATCCGTGCACACCTTAAGCGTAAGGCTCAGGCTTATACAAAACATTTTATTATTTTACCTGCAAGATCCTGGCCTTCTGTTTTGGTCAGCGCCTGAGATAAACGTTCGTACGTCCTTCTTGAACCCGGTCGCTGCCAGCCATATTAGCATCGCTGCTAATCCTTCACCCTTTTAGCTTCATGTTTATATTTTTGGAGCAAATAATTTTGATTGGATTCCCGCATCTAATGTTTAATTTAATTTGTAGTTCATCACTTTTGAATTACTGATCAACAGTCTTAGCATTATTTACTCCAATTTCTTTTTTGATATTGTATTTTGAAATGTTGAAAAATGAGCTAAAACTACCACACAAATCGAGTAAAAACTTCCCCACAAGAATGAATGGCCAAGGCGATATCTTTAAATGGAAGTTTCCTCCTAACCCGCATCTGGAACGCCACACGCGCAGTCCAGCGCCGCTTATTTGGCCACCGCGCCTTGTCCACCGTGACGCTAACTGCGCCGCGCCTTTTTGGCCTGCGCCGTTAACGCCGTAAGTCTCCGTCGCCTGTCGTGGTGCCGTTCGTTCTCCGGCGCATTAACTTCCCGTCAAGTTCAAAGTTCAGCATTGCATACAAAGTTTGGGTATATACTGGATTCGTTGTTTGTTTGATATATATAGCATATTATACATAAATATAAAGGATAATAAATTATAGCGAGGGATATGGAGCTTGATTTTCAACAAACTGATTTCAATCACAGGATATTTGCATCATTTGATATTTACAAGTAAACACAGAAATGCGTAGAAATTTAGATATAAAAGGTTAGTGCATGAAAGTTTGGTTGATCCTTATAAATATTCACTCCAGAGGATTGCTATGAATTTTGGAAATTGAAGATGCATATAAGACTTGAAGAATTATATAATTAATTCTGGTTACTGCACTTTTCCATATGATATTATTTAAAATTGATCATGCATATGGAACGGGAAACTATCTACCTGCAATTTTATTCAATATAAAAGTTAATATTGATAGTTATTTAAGGGACATTACACATCTCCCTTTGATTTAGAAAAGGCTGATAGCATAAATTTTGGTGTCGAACACTTTGAAATATTTTATTTAAATGCTCATGTAATTGCTGATCATTTTAGGGGCCATTGCGATGCACGGAAAGATGGGCAAATGATTGGTGATAGGCAACGGTATGGTAGCGTAGCCTCAAACACATTCCACGGGACGTATATGGTGCAAGGGCCGTTTTGGGCGGAAATTTGAAGTCACCATTTATGGCAACTTGCCCGCTAACGGGTTAAATATAGTCTGTAGTAAGCTGCGTTCAGGCATTCTTACTGTGATATATTTTACCGCGCCGTTTTTACCGTTAGAAGAATAATTTATTTGTTTACTGTACAGAAAATTCAGTTCCAGAAGAATTGGGCTAACAAGATCTCTCGCACGAGTACTTCTCGAACAGCAAACTATATAGTAGTCAACATTCTTTTTTATAATGTTTAGATCGTACTCTATAATATATTATGTATTACATTTTCTACCTTTTTAAATGCTTTCAATCAAAGGCAGGAACGGACAGCTTACATTCCAGAAGCTGCACAGCACAGAAATCCTTCCCCGATTTTAAGCGTCTTTCCAAAATTGTTAGACCTCAGGTTACCGATCGAGGCAAACTATAGCGCTGCGAGCTGACGTATCTAATTATCTCCGATCGAACCGGTCTGTATCTCCCAAAAATTTTCTTGAGGACAAATTTTTTCGTATGTTTAATGTCGCAATTATATACGTTAACTTCGTATCGGTAACAAGAATAATGCAAGACAAATCCTTACTATATGTCATGAATATGAATTGTGTTCCTGTATCCGCATTCATTAATTCATTTAAGAACTGAAATTAAATTTGAACGTTTCGTTTTTGATTTCCCTGTTGTTGGTCAAGGCGCCGAAATTCAATTCAGAATTTTTTCTTTTGAACGAAAATGTTTCTGTTCAACTTGGAATAAAGAAGTCCGTCATCATATTGATTCTCGTACAGACGATTAGCATTGACTCGTGTATAGGGTTGTGAGACATCATCGTATAATGTGGTCTCGAGTTTCAATGATGAATTAGTTTTTTTTTTAATGGAGAGGATAGCTTAATGTATACGTATTCTTATTAAATATTTTTCGCCAATTTATCGATAGTTTTTATCTGGAATACTCATCCCACAGCTATCTGTTTCTTCAATGATGAATTAACGTAACAATAATAATAATTAAATGCTTTGCAATCGTATAGCTTAAATTTTAAAAATAACTCAAAGTTTACTTATTTTATCTGCCGAAAACTAGCACTGAAGAAGAGTATGCGTTAAAATTGATTTTAAAACATTTCATATATATTAATTTCAATCAATTTCAATTTATTTAGTATAAATCAATATAAATTTCTATCTTTGACTTTATTTTGTTACACACGCGCTTTTTTCTTGTCAGTTGGTGCTTGTCAGTTTTGCATCAGTTGTCTGCTTGTCAGTTGGTTGTGCGTTGGTTGCGGTGTTACAGACTTTCTTTGACCTTCGCTACTTTCTACTCACGGAAATGACGTGGCGTTTTCGAGACACTCGTTGCGTTGAAGTTTTCGAGACACTCGTTGCGGCGTTATCAGAGAGGCACAGGCCGGTCTTTGCATGCAATCTGTACATTGTTGTTGGATACCGGAATGCGAATCTCTGTTGGAATTAATTTTTTTCACACTTATAAGTTGAGGTGCTTTGATTTTGTTAACCAAATAGTTGAAACTGCATTCATTTTTTTAATGAAGAATAATTAATAATGATATTTTACATTTCTTAAAACATCATCGATGGACGTCGACATAAATTACCTGGAAATGATTATTTCTACTAAAATGGTAGATCGTTTCAACTTTTATATTTCTCTAGTCTGGCAACGCCTAACTTAATTGCAAGGCGGGCTCCATAATTATTTCTTAATAACCATATTAATTACAATTCATGGAAATTTCAAATAATTTCTATGGTCATTTTGATACGTTTATTGCAAAATACAATTCCTTAGCTTTGTGTATATGAAAGCTATGCGAGAAAGTTGTTTGTCATTAATTTCCGCTTTGCTGACATTCACATTGAGATCAGAAGAATAAAATCTGTTTTTGTTTTTCTCTTTTCAGATCACAAATTGAAGGGCGTGGACCCAAAGCCACGGATCAGTCTTGTGGAAGACCCCGACAATCACTTCTCAGTGATCCACACTCCCCTTCCTCCCACCCCGTGCTCCACATCTACTCCCATCTCTTCCAATAACAATTCTACACTTTATTCCTCTGCGAGAAAAAATTCCCACAGGAAATCTCACGAGCCTCTTTATTCTCCAGTCAAATCAAGCTCCTGTGCCGATCCCTACAAGAAAAATTTTGCATCCGCCGACTCTTTGCTCAATGATTCCAGTAGCCTCTGTCGAAATAATACGGATTATCTCGTTGATACTACAAATACTAGAACATCCAATTTATCAATAAACAATCGGTATAACAGCCCATCTTTACAGGTCACTTCATCCACTGGGCACGGGAAATCTTTTTCCTCCAATCCCAACATTTTATCAGACAGTGGGTCCCTGGCCCCAACTAACTCCCCAATCAGTCCTTCGTATCAGACTAGATCCCACTCGATCCAGCCTCTCCAATCCCAAGACTCTGATATTAGAGTACGGCATTTCTCACGTCACAATTCTATATCTCATTATCCATCAGAAAATATTTGTAAAAGTCCCCAGAATCCTGTTGTTAACGGACACACTCCGGTATCAGATCGCAACGGGTTTCCTATTCAGAAAACAAGCGGCCAGCCGAGTCCAGTAACGGACAGTTCCAGCTTCTCTAACTTCTCGCGATCGTCCTCGACCCGCGCTCATTTCTCGCCGACTTCAACGCCTGCAGTTTGCGGACGTGCTTCTGAACTCTCGTCGTACGCAAGTCAACAACCCGGCGATGGCCAGCCTGTGAGGCTCAGAGATCAGCCATCGTGAGTATAACGTGAACTGTTTTAAATAACATTAAAACAATGCCTAAAGTTTTAAATTGAACTTAATTTTTTGAATGAAGGTAAAGACTTTTGGCTATAGACCTTAATGAAAAGGTAGTACCATAAATGGACTCTATGATAGAGTTTCAATTAATTGACGATTCTCTGAGTGTTTTCATCTCATGGTGGGTTGGCGGAATAAATTTTTGTCCATGCAATGAAAGAAACAGTTTACCAGTTGGCAGCTAAATAATTTTTCTGGATCTCACACTATCAACTTTATTCATAAATTTCTTCGGTGGAAGCTAAAAATACCTCTTTTGGTGAAGTTGTGTGACAATTTTGTCTCATCGTTTTCACTTCTTAAATCATTAGAAGAGTTGGGGATACGAAATGCTTGACTATTTTAACACTAATACATATCATTTATACTTCAGCTTTATTCAATAAGATGAACTGATCTAAAAACCCTTTCAAATTCTCTCTTTATGCCCTCAAATTTATTTAGATCTAATATTGAAAGTTTATGTGCCTCATTCCCTTTAAACCCCCATTTTATTGCGTACGGTATGCGAACACATGAAAATATGCATGCATAAGCATAGACATGAAATGAAAAAAATTCGTCTCGGTAAAATTTTGTTCGCGATTTACTGCCCTTAACTTGTTGAATTATAGCACTCCCCATGATAATAAATGGTGAGTAATATGATTAAACACCGCCAGGGTTGTGCGGTGTGCATATAAACCCGTCCGCTACTCCCACTCAGTGCCGCCTCGGCTCGAGTTGCTGAGCACATGGCTGGTTAGATGAGTGGCAGCTGCTCGGGCATTTGCTTCTATATGAACTGCTTTGAACAAGACAAATCTTAAAAAAACATTTATACGCTATTTATCACTCTAGATAGCTGTAAGAACTAAATTATTCACAAAAAATCATAACACTAACTTATTTATAAAATCAGTTTCAAAAACCATATAAACTAAACTTTTCCTTTTTTATTTCTAATCCACAAATGACTTCTAGTCGCTGAAACATACCATAACCTCATGAACTGGTTTTATTTCTCTGTAATGTTGAATCTGTTATAAATCAAAAGAACAATCAATATTACTATATTGGGTCACCAATTGGCAAGAAGTAATGAATCATTTCCGCATAACAATTTTTATCTCGTACCTAAAAGCTTTTTTCATTAATGTTGGTTACAGTTAGAATGTTTTTTCTCCATTTTTTCCTCAGTGACTCATCATTGCAGACTGCAGAGCGGCCGAGACATTGTTAGCTCGCAAATGAAGTCAGCAGATGCCTTCTTTGTATCGTCGTAGCTGTCGTGGCATCGACTTACTTGCCGGACGTTCAGTTTTATTTGTATATTTTTATCTTCATCTTGCATCTATCGTTGAGCTGACGCAGCAAACGACTGGTTTTTTGCTCGCCTTTTACCTCTGAAATTCCGGTATTCGATCAGACTTTAAGACTTTTCAATTGGCATGCCTATCATGATTGTTTCCATTGAAATCATTTATTTCATCTTGCGTTCTTTTATTCGAAGTGATTGCCTAATCGTGGTCAACTCCTGCTATAGGGTCGTCGCTTGTTATCGATAGCCTTCTTCAGCATGTGTGTATTTTTGATGGATTCTTTTTTCTTTCATTCCGTTTTAATTATAGATAACTTGTATAGCACTTTACTAAAAGAACAGTGATCGTTTCTACTCGTGTTATTCGTTACAAAACATATTGGTTGTTCAGAATAAATACATTTGCTTTCATCCCATCTCTTTTTTGCCAACAGAAACCAGCGTCAGAATCACCGCAAGAGATCTGCTGGTGTGCTCAGTCCTGCAGCTATTGCCAAAATGGTGAGTTTTCAGTACCGAATTGTTGGTGAATTTTAACTTGATCGAGAACAGCAATATAGTCTGAAATAATCCGCATAATACTTCTAAAGCATTTAAATTTTTTAATCCAATCACTAAGACTTCACATATATTTGCTGACCATTTAATATTTCAGCTACTGACCTCTTTTGTCACGACGATATCATTGTATCTATATTAACATAGTATCTATTTTAACCTCGTTTCTATTTTAACCTCGTATCTATTTTAACCTCGTATCTATTTTAACATTGTATCTAATTTAACATTTTACCTAACAGTACTTTGTGCTGAGGTTCTATTATCACAATTTTGTGCTGCATTCTTGCATGAGTGTGCTTGACTTAGTCATGCAGTGACTTATCTATTATATGATAATTTATACGCATGATACATTTACTGTTGAAAACTTCGTCAATATATTGAAGCTAGTTTTTCATTTCCATTTAACCCGACAAGTTTTTTTAAAAGGTATCTTTTTATTTATTCATTTATTATTCTCTATTTTTTTTTTCAATTAAACCACTCACTGGCTTTAATTCACACACCATCGCTCTTCATCACCTATCAAGACTAAAACACCACCCACCTCCACAATCACCACAATCACCCCTCCCACCTTCAACACACTCCCCCCTCCCCCAGCAGCATTGTTTAATCTCGTCTCAAGGACGTGACTCTAACCAAGGATCTACAGATATATTCGCTTACTCAATTTTGTTTTAACCAGCAGAACAGAAGATCAACAGACCGCGACGCTGTATTGTTTGAGCTCTGATGTGTCTGCTCTAATTCAAACTTGAATTGTTACACAGCTACCTCCTGTAAAAAAATTTTAGTACCGTAGAAGTTTGTTTCATCGTTGATGACATAACGTTGATACATAAATTTTTTTAATGGTTTTCTAAACAATCCGCACATTTTAGCACAAAAAGTAACTAATGGAATACTAATCCTTTTTGAAATTCTCAGTCCTCTCGCAAAAATATTGCACCATCACATTTGCCCAAAACATCGATCTATAATTTCCTTCTTTTTTTCTTATTTTCCAATTAAACACAATCAAATTGCATAAAATACTCGAAATTTCACATTCCTAAATTGTTTTTCTCTAATATTTCACTAGTTATTCTATTTTATTCATTTTCTCCAGTATTCTCTTCTCAAACTCTATTATTTTACTAGAGCTTCAATTGTGACTCCGGGCTGTCACTGGACGCTACCTCGGACGAGCTGAGTCACCTGCTGGAGTGGGAGCTGAGCCTTGACTCGACAGACCTGAGGTCCCACGCCTGGTATCACGGCAACATACCTCGCGCCCGCGCTGAGGAGGTTATAAATAATTAAAGAGGTATCATAAGCTACAGGTTTACTCGAGAAACAGTTTAGTCATTGTGTGTGAAATTCTATTTCACTTCGAAATAAGATCGGGGGGAACTCGTAGTTATGTGCGCCAGCTAAGGAATCATTGTTCGATCATGGACACCGTTATTACGCGGCACAATGCGGTTCATATTTGTAATTTTATTGCACATTTGAGGTGCAGAAGGCGAGCCTTCATCATTGGTGGAATTTACGAACACAAGTTCGATACGAGGAAGATCTGTTAATGAATGACTGGTTTGTACCACCGAGAGCTCGGTTCGAGGCATGGCATAAAGAAGACGGATCGTTAACTTCCGAGTAAAATAATGATTTCCTAATGCTTATTCAAGTTATAACTTAGGCCGTTTTTCATTGTGAAGTGAGAGGGACATTCTGTCTAGTAAATTGTTAGCTCGTTCGTGTTCTTGTAGCTTTTGCAATTTTGTTTTGCGCTAAACATTGCATGACGGGTGTTTTATTCGGAAGTTGCAGAAACGCCGATGCCTTTACTAAACAAATACTATGCAGTTTTCTCTTGCACTGTTTAGCGAACGTGATGTAATAGAAGATAACCTGAATCAGATTAGCAAACCCAACTGATTCAACACGAAGTAATGATTTCTAATCAGGCGAGTTACGTGTCGTTAGTTTTGTTCATTACTTGCTAAACTTGCTGTATCAGCGACACCTCCACGATTGGCGTTTCGAAGTTAAAATGAGCTTGAAAACTGAAAAGTTGAGCTTTGTGATGGGAACGGTGACGCTGTGATCTGTAGTATGTAAAAAAATTTAATTTCTTTGTGGAGTTGACAGCAAAAAAATTCACTCTTTCGGAAAATGGTATCGTCTAAATCATTATATTGTTCTGAGTAATCTTTTACAATTTATTTTGTTCGTGTCGGTTTGATCACATTGCCTTCATTTTTTTCATTTGTTGCGTAACTCTCGAGGAATCGCTGATCGATGAATGTGAGAAAACAGCACAAAACGATTACTAAAGCTCGCCGTCCTGCATTCGCAGAATGAAACAGCACACATGTTTAACTTTTTTAACGTATTAAACATGCATTCCAATGTTATGAATGTAGCAAATAATGCAGCTATGAAGTTTGACTTGATATTTAACCTCAATTATATTATTATTCATGCTAGAAAATTCCATCAATCTGGATGTTTTCCTGTTATGTTGAGGAAGTTAAAATCTTAAAAAATAATTTTTAAGAAATGACCAATTTGAATGGAAATGGAAATAAAATTGATTATTCAAAGTCACGTATGTACTTAAATATCAAGATTATTTACGCAGATTTTTCAACAGGGACTGCACTACACAGCCTGGCAATTATGTGTTGTCGTGCCTTTGGGACTCGAAAGTCCTGCACTTCGTAATCCAGATGGTCAGTACCCGAGTTTACGCTTAATCGGTAGGTAAAGAACTCAATTTTTCAAATGCAAAAAATCAATTTACATTGACTTTTGTTAACTATCGAGATTGCTTTGCTTGTATTGAATAGTCTTGTTTTTTATTATATATAATGCCATGTAATTTATTACAGACAATAGTGCAGCCTGACACCGTGTATGAACGCATTCAGTACGAGTTGGAGGACGAAGGCTACGACACGATCCCTGACCTCATCTGCGCCTACGTCGGCAACAAGAAAATCGTCACACAGGCGACGGGAGCAAAGATTTTAGCTCCTGTTAACAGGTCGGTCTAAATCGAGCTCGATAATCTAGTGTTTGTCTTTAAGTTCTGGATACATTATTCCACCTCGTCTGTAAAAAAAATTTCGTAACGTGAAATCATCCGGTTTAAATTTTTAGGTTTACTTATAGAACATGTCTATTAAAATTTCAAACAAGTGTCAGGTTACAATAAATTATGACCTGAGTAAATATTTGAGGGGAATGCTTTGAAGCACTTTGTCTGTTTATAATTATCGTATTCGCTATTAATTTCGCTATTTTTTTATTTTCAGATGTAAACCTCTAACTTATTACGAGTCTTTGTACAAGAAGGAGCCCTTATTGGCGGCTGAATGCTCAACGATCGATGGAAGCCGTTCAAGCTTACCGCCTTCAAAACCGGCGATTCATAGGTATAAGTTTTCGCTTGACTATGTTTCAGGATTTGTTTTTTCCTAACGAGTCTTAACACAAATCATGTCATACATTTTTGGCAAATAGCACAAATCATGTCATAAGTCTTGCATTGGCATAAATCAAAGCCCATAACCCATCGGATAAAACTTTTTGCTTTAGAACATCTTTTATTTTTGATTCGTTGGTAGTAATTTTTATAGTGTCTCCAGAACGTACGACAACCGCCAGACACCTGCGTTGCCGGCAGCGTCCGACGGCGTGAGCTGCAGCATCGTACGATCCTCGCTAGGCGACACACATTGCCAGAGAAGGGCGTCACAGGAGGGTGTTTTGTCAGGTGAACATAATTGATAATGATAACAATTGCTTACCCCTTATGTCATTGCCTATGAAAAAACAGAAAACTCAGAGTAAACCAGCATTTTGAATTGATGTTTACGGTATCTGCAGCCTCTGTGTCAACACCGTTTTCATAAAAATCGGCAAAAATTCAATATTGTTAATTTGGCCCCTCATGCTCACATTCACTGATTTGAGCCACCAACTTGTTTTCATCATGTGATGCAATTGCTGGTGACCGAGTTTCTAAATACATTTACATTTGACATTTCTCTGAATCCCTAAACAGCGAGTAAAAGCGTAAACATTATTTAAGGTACAAAATTACTGATATTGAGTTAGTTCAACCAACCTAGTTAAATTAATTCATATCGAAATACTTATGAGTGACGGCAGATAGTGAAATAACCCCAAGTTAGATCTTTGACGGAGCCCCATTTCGATTAGAATTGGTATACGGTTGGAAATTTGCTACTCACTTGAAAAAAAAAAATTAATTATGACGAATTTTTAAATAATTATTTTAAGCAAGTGATTTGATAAGTCAATAATAATTTTGGCTCATATTGATATGAAAAATATTCATATTATCAGATGAAAGAAGCAACAGCAGCGACGGCATCATCGGCCAGCGGCAAAAGAAAGACTTGGCAGCATCTACGCAATCCTTGCCACGCAGGATACACGCTGGAAAGACAGAGCTCTCCTTACCTCCTTCTTCTTCACTTACACCTGCCGAATCCGGAACTGAAATACACAACGCCCCACCCAAGCCCTCTAGAATTCCTTCATTCAAAGTTAAGGCCAGGAAGCCTCCTATTCACGTCTCAGATCGCGTCTACGCTGAGATCGACGAGAAAGAAGAAGGTTCCGAGAACGCAGGGGCTTCCAAGCAATCAGAAGGACATCATGGCTCACCTGGAAATGCTTTGAATTCTGAACAAAATCCTAGATTTTCTAGATTGTCTGAAGTGTATAATCCCTCTGGATCTGATTCTGGCAATGGATCTGGTGACTCAATACAAACGACCGTCAGTGATGCGAGGAAGTAAGTATGAACGTCACTGCGGTCGTGTTGTTATCTCGTTTACTGTCCTTTTATTATGAAAAATGATGAGTGCATAAATAAAGAAAGCTATTGTATTGATGTTTTCAGCTATGTTTAGAACTTAAGGAGAATGGAGAAGAATCAATCGGCTTGAGAAATTTAATGTGGATTAGATATTTACCTGCTTCCAGGTACATATATAAAATCTATTCAGTAAAGGGGGCCTAGTTTTTATCTATCTTCATATTACCTTTTTTTTTAACTCAGCTCTGTAGCTTCTACATCCTAGCCTAAATATTTTACGAATATGCATACACGAAATAACTTCTTGCTGTATTGCACGTACTATTTGCTTAATCGGCGAGCGGATTGTCTCGGAGCTGAAGGAAATCTTAACTTGATATCTTTACAGCCGCGACAGCCAAAGCTCCCTGGTGTTGGACGGCGGTATCGCACCCATAGAAGACGACTCGCTGGCCGAGGACACGCCTCTCTTCAGCGTGCCGGAGATGAACCCGCCCTCCTTCTACAACTTGGAAAAATTTAGTACATTTCTGCTGCCCCATGGAGAGAACCCACCCCTCGATGCCACCGCCCTCAACGGCATTAAGAATACTATTATGGAGTCATTTATTTCAAAATTCAATTTTTTCACACTTGAATAATGTTAAATTAAAAATTAAAATAAATTTCCGGAAAAAATACCTAAAACTTGAAAAAAATTCCCCCAATCGACGTATGGTTAAGACAAACCCCTATATACAATGAGCAAAGTATAATTTTTCCCTCATTTTCAAGGTTGCGAACATAACGTAAATGAATTAATAATACTTAAAATTAATCAAATACTTAGTGAATGTACTTGCAATTAATTTTTTTGCATGTGAAGAAAACGCAACAGAGCAAAATGTGAAATTTGAATGATTAACAATAATTCGGTGGAATAAGATTTTTAAATGGACTGATAAGATAAGCTGTTCTAAATGAGCCCGAGGAATATAGAATTCTCTCTCAATGGCACTGATTCAGAACTTTTCACAAGCCCGCTAGAATACGAACTTCTGGCGCTGTCTACTAAGAACTACTCGATAGGCGGTAGCATGAAAATTTCTCAATGGGCGGTAGAACAAAAATTTCTCAATGGGCGGTAGAACAAAAATTTCTCAATGGGCGGTAGAATACAAATTTCTCAATGGGCGGTAGAATAAAAGTGGCCAGTTCAACTGCACTGGATTGAATTCCGTTGCAGTTGAACTGGAGGACGCAGACGTGGGAGGGGCCAGCAAGGGGGGAGGCCGGGAGAGCGGGGAGGAGGGTGGTCTGGCGGGTATTGGGTCAGACCGTTTGCACGTAGGGCAGGTCCAGTCTGCGGAATATAGGTGGATGGAGCGAAGGCCGGAGCACCGCTTGTGGCACCAGGCGTTACACGTGGAGCACCAGAACGAGTAACATCGCTTTGTAACCGGGAGGGAGCAGACTGAGCAGGGGTCGTCGGCGGGGCAAGGGTTGGGATGGATACCCTGGGTCAGGAGGAGAAGGACGAAAAGGAAGAGAAGGTGAGAGGAGAGAAGGGCATAGTCTGCCTCAGGAAAGATAGGCGGCCAAAGAAGTGGGTAGGGGGAAGGGCCCCGACCCTCGGTCGAAAAAATGAAGAAAGGAGCCTCCGTCCGGTAGCGATCCGGGCGGGGGGGCCTCTGCCGTTTGGCCTGGCCTGCGAGCATGCCGGGCATCCGGACGACGCGCAGGCCAGGGTACCCCCACGACGTAGACGCGGCAAGTCTGACCGTAGATCTGTTACGTAGTGGGGGTATTTTGCACAGTCTCCCCCTTCTCTCGTTATGATATGTCTTCAGGATGATTATGATATGTATAATCATGAAAGTCTCGCTCTCAAAGTTTGGTGCCAATCCGGTTATCATATTCCAGATGTACAGATCCTCTCCCGTCTCCCCTGCAGTGAGTATAGACGCAGGCGAAGTGAAGGTTGTTGGACCCCTTTCAGTTGCCGCATTGCGCCGAGTGAGAACGGGGTCCAGAGCTGGCAACAGTACCTATTCAAGGAAAAGGTATTACAAGGGTTCTAAAAAATGTGATCATCGGTTTCACTTCCCTTGGAGTGAACGTCCACCAGATCAACCCCATCTGTCGTCTACCTCTTGCGGTTATTGCCGCTATGTGATCATCTAACTTGACCTGAGGTATCACCAACATTCCTTGATCGCGAGCGAGTCTCTTCTTTTCGATTGTAGAATTGTCATATTTCAGGTAGCTGCGTGCTCCATACCAGCTTTTCCGCTACCTCTGTATCTCGGAACCTCAAATTTGGTTCCGTTGAACTGCCGCGAATGACGATAAAGAGGCGTGATTCTATGTCAGCGATGTGAATGAGGAAGAGGATTGAGCAGATTATCGTTCCCTGTGGTACTCTACTCTTCACCCTAGCCTCGCTCGATCTCGAGCTTGCAAGAACGACAGTTTGTAGTCTTACCGTTAGGAAGCTGTGGATCAATGCAAGCAAATCACATCCGACCCCAGTAGTCTAAAAGGGAGCGTCTGGGTGGTGAAAAAAACTTTTTATTTCCGGACGGATCAATTTGAAACTTGGTACGCCTATGCAAAACAGAATTCCAAGACTTTTTTGTTCGTGTCAATTTTTCGAAAAAAAATGAAAGTAAACGTAAAATTCTTACAAAACGGCAAAAAAGGGGGTACTATAGAAATCTATCTCCTCCTAGAGTTGAAAAAGTCAACTTCCGTCATGTACTGCACCAACCTACTGGCAACAACCTTCTCATATAATTTGATTATGTGTGATGTTAATATAACCGGCCTGTAATTTGGGGGTTTGTCTCTCGCACCTCCTTTGTACATACCCCATTTGGCTCGGGAGGAATGAGCTGATGATTCTTGGATACTCCTATCTAGATCCGGTGTCTATGTTCATCAGCACTCGCCCCCTCTCTAAGTTCGTTCTCCCGTCTCAAGTATCGGGGTTTGCTCAATACTTTTTCAAACTGCTCTTCTAGCAGTTCGCACATGCCCTGGTCGTCTCCAATAAGGACATCGTTATTTTTCAGTGGCTCCACTGATGCTCTGATTTGGCCTTTGACTGGGCATATATATAGAAATGTTTGGGATTATCTCGAATGGCAGACACCGCTTGCCCCTCCGCAACTTGTTGCTCAGCCTCGTGTGAGTCCTGCAACTGTCGTTCAGTGTCCTCAATTTCCTCCCAAGATGTTCCAGCCTCCGCCTCTCCATATTCCTGGAGGCGGCTGTTATCTGGTTGTTCAAGTTCGCTCGTTTTCCCATGAGGATCCGTCTGTCCCTTGGAATTGTGAGCCGTTTGAAGGTCGTTCTTCCCGGCGTGTGACGCACGCATACCTTACCTGCAGTAATACTTCGCACAGTTTGTTGTACTACATGTTTGTATACTACATTGCTTCGGACTTCAACTCTAGGATCTCAGATCTCCAGTCGCTTTCTAGTAGTTCGTTCCCTATGAACTCCCAGTCTATTCTTCGATGTTTGTACCTTAGAAGACAGAAAAAAGACTGGATTAATTATTCACACACAATTGTTATAATCTTATTAGTCAATAAATATGATTTAGTGTGATTTTCTTGAATAAATTGACGAAATTCTAAGCTAAATGACTTTCGTTCTAAAGCTAATTATTAAGTAAAGATCCCCTATCCAGTTTAATTTTTCATATTTATTCACCGAATTTCAGCGCACGCATTTTGCAGGTTGTTTGAAACAGTTTTACTCTCCTCTCATTCCTTCCTCCCGTAAATATCGCATTAGTTTTAATAAATGAAACTTTAGGTTCACTGACCGTATTACACAAGAAAATGTTGTCGCAGGACGGAGTGCATGAGACTCCTGGTAGCCGTGACCGTCCTGAAAGAGGAGGACATCCGCGTGCGGGCTGAGCTCATCCATCGCTGGATACAAATCGCCATCGACACCAAAACCGCCACCGGCAACCTTTATGGCTTCAATAACATCATGCTGGGTCTCTGTAACCCACAGGTGAGTGATGTGTCGTCTTATTGTAGCATCAATAACATCATTATGGGTCTCTGTAACCCTCACTCAGTTGGGCGTTTTCTTCTAGCCTCGGAAACGTCATGCTGTGTGCTATTAAACTATTACCTTGATTCATAATCCCCTGAAAATTCAATAGTTCTTCGATAATATCTCCTAATGGTCAAGTTTATTCGCTTCTTGAAATTAATTTTTGTTTGTGTTTACAGATCCAGAGACTGACCGCCACGTGGCACATGGTGCGGCAGAAATTTACTGACTCGGCATTCAGTTTTGAGTCGAAGCTCCGGTCGACGTTGAAGGCGATGAACGAGTGCAACAACCCTCAGGCCCCTAACACGATCATCCCACACATCCTTCCTTTTATTCTGCTCTGCGAACGCGACCTCGAAGACATTTACTCGCTCAGGAGGAAGGTTAGCAACTCCATTACATTGGTTCAAGTCTCGGATAACATAAATATAGACTTTATTAGTGAAAATTTATATGTGGATGTTGGGTTTTGTCTCATTGGAAGTATATAAAAAGCCGCGTGAATTTTTCCTTGGGCATAAGAACGGCTCTGTTGTTATACTACTAGATGAGTATGGCTGTAACTGCAAGTATAGTTGATAACGTCGTAGCGTAAAGTTTCTTGCCGCTCATAAATAAATTAGCAATGAAAATCTGTTGCACATACATCTAATCCAAATTTTTACCACGAATTTTCGTGCGAAGAGGGTTGATATTGACAGTTGATTTCCTAAGGACACTGCCGTTAAAATTGGTGGCAGTGCTCCCAGTGCAGACTTTGATGTTGCCGCATTACCACAGGACGAGTCTCTGGTGCAGTGGGAGAGCGCCACCTCGGACTACGGACTACAGATGATGCTGCTGCATCTTCTTGACGGCCGCAGCTTCGCTCAGAATCTTATGATGTATCGACGCAACGCAGATCTGATCCTCGAAGACCCCGAGACCTTAGAAGACCTTGTCTTGGACGTCTTCAGGACAGAGTTCCACCTGAAGTTCCTGTTCGGTAGTCGCGGGGCGCTCAGGGACGCGCAGGAGCGGCACGCAAAGTTCCAACAAATTCTAAGCGCCTTGTCCAGCCACTGTGAGTCGGCGATCGAGTCTTCGGTGTGAACTTTAGTATTGCTACTTAGGAAAGTCGTTCAAATATGAAGTGAAATTCATTCTATTCAAAGCCTAAATTAATGGCATGATTTTATGGTATTATTCTCGTGAAAAACAGTCAAATTTAGGCTGAACGTAACACCAGAAGTTATTTTCATTTTTGCCATATTTTGTTCCTCTCTTGCATTCTCAAACCGTAATGCAGTTCTATTACGAGGCCTGCACTGAGATTCTGATAAGTTACCAGTACCATGCAGTAGTGATGGTGTTTTAGCATGCATGGCTTACGGAAGGTTTTTAATCTCGTCTTGTACGCATGCAACAGGTAACCAAAGAGTTCCATAAATATTTGTGCTGGAGAATATTCCTTCATCGATACGTAATCTGAAGAGTGTTATGTAGTTAATGTGTTTACATCACTGCCAATATATCCCCACGAGACGAATATGGAATCACAGCCAGAGGTCAAGTCACAATTTCCAACAACTTGTTGTAGAAGTCCCATTTTACAGAGTTATGTTCCGGAACTTGTTGCTCAATAAATGAGTTAAGAAGAATGACGCAAGATTTTAATATCGAAAACGTTTCACCGAACTTAAGGCTTAATGCAAATCACCATAAGTCAATTTGTATGTGTTATTTTTTTCATATTAATAATATGAGTGCAATATTCGTCGATGAATTCTAAGTGAATCAATCAAATGCTACCTCAGGTTATGCACGCTGTACTTCTGCTCTTGCTATGACTTTCATAATAATTTGTTTTTGTTCTGTAAATCAAAAAGTAATGGTTATTGATTAGATCAAGTCACATAATTGAACGAATTTACTAATTTTGAGTGGATATTGTTTTTGAAGCGTCCTTTTTTACACGTTGGAGGACGTTGAGATCGATTTTTAGTTTTAATGTTCAGCATTTATCCAGAAAAAATGACTTGTGCCAAAGATATGTACATTTCCGCCGCACAAAAGTTGCTTCAGCCTTTAGTTTTTACTTTATTTTTTTTCGAAATTTACGTTGAATATGAGCTCGCAAATTATTTCGTTTTCCATATAAATGCTGTTAATACTTGATTTACTTTTTAATGGTCTTGTGACAATCTTGTTTATAATTTGTTAGAATTTTCAAATGATTTATCACTTTGGAATATTTCTTTACGTCTAGTCGATTATTGAAGCGTTTTTGTACAGATAGCGTGTACATATGTGCCCATTAGTATCATTATAATACATTTATGACTTTATGAATAAACTTATCGTATCGATATTTTGTTGTTCTAATTCTGCCTCAATGAAATTCTTAGGCAAAATTTAAAAATCAGTGGAGAAATAGCTGAACTTTTTTAAACTTCTCAACTATTTCATTACATTTAAAAATATCGCCGTACGAAAAAAAATTGAGACATAACTGCTTACCACATCGGAGTAAGTTATACAAAAAAACGCTTTACCTTATATAAGAACAAGGCTTTAAAAAACGATGTGAGAGACAAGAAACTAATATGCGTTTAAAAATTACTTTTAAAAGACAACACTTCTAAAGAATACAGTTTCTCCGATGTTGCACAAGTAAATAATTTCCAATTTTTTTGTATCAAATATTACAAGAATGAATTTTTAAATTATATTGTAATATTAAAAAATTAAATTTGTCAAAATTATTTATTCTGTCAATTAATTCATGCATTGTCTCCGTTTTACGCAAGTGTGCAAATTTCAGATCGATTGGACTGGTATAAGTGTGTTAAATATCGATTATAAGATTTGTAGCAGACAGACAAACAAACAACAAGAAGTGAAGAAGTGATGTAAAAAGGTTGATCTAAATTCACATGAGAAATGTAGAAACTCTTATCCTTTTGTATACAGGATATGCGGGAATTTAGTTCTCAATTATTACTGCAAATTGATATTACGCTAATTCACGGGACGTCAGCCTGAAAATGATTTGGTGAAATGCGTGAACTTCTACCCGTTTTACGCAATCATCCTAGCCTTATAATGGAAACAAGTTATTTAAATCTCTTATTCAGAATATCAATATATCATCAGGTGAAGCTGATAATGTTTTGGCCGGAGTTTAGAAATGATAAGAATGATTACACCCGAAATTTGCTGTGGAGGCTAACTTTTGTGACTCGATTTTAAAGCAAAAAACTTGAGACTTCATTGGCATGTGTCTTTTCATTTTTAATCAAGTGCATTTTTTACATCACAGTTTTATGTTTGCTATAGAATATTTTAGATCAATCCTTAAATTATTACCCCATATTTCACTGTGATTGCTTATAAGCGATTTCCAATATCTTGAACTTTAATTCACATATGTAATGTGTCATAAGTGAATTAATTATCTGCTCAGAATTGCAATGTAGACCCTATCATAAATTTTAGCCGGCCAACGCAATTGAGAAAAACTAAATCACGGAATTTGTCTGGAAAAAATGACCGTCTGGCAAACCTGCTTAAAAAAAAGTACAAAAAATGAAATAATAGTACAAGATGAAGCAATCGTAGTCAACGTTTTAAATAAACGGCGTGCACAGCAGACCTCGTACTACAACATGCATGCACTAAATGTAATGGCATAGAATTTAATAGATTATGGTATCTCTGAGCTGCGAACGGTTTCCAGACAAGTTGAATCTCGCCAGTCAATGAACCCAATTATTATATGAAGCGGATTACAACAGTTATTAGGCCTTATTCAACACATACAAGAAAAAAACACAGCTCGTAGTATTGTTATGTCCAATTAATTTGTCCAATTGGAAGCCAAACATTCATATGCGTAAGTTCTGAAGCAAAACGACAAAGTTTATTAACACTCTAGCAGAGTTATTCTCATTGCCAAAAAAAATCTAAATTTTATTTTGGGGGCTCCACTGGGTTCGCTTGAATTATCGTCCTGAAACTTTTTTTCAGGTCAAGAAATAATTGATACAAAATCATTATGAAACGCCTTTACATTTCTATTGATATTCGGCCAAAAGAAGGAGACAATGAAACCGCTCATTACAAGCATTTATGCCCATGGAATATATGCCCTAAAACTCACGACCGCAAGTCATAAAACATTTTTCACTTCATAAAAACATTGCCACAAAACTTAACCTACTATATTATTCATCTGCAGTCACCAGTTCTTCTTTTGGCCTCCCAGCTAATCATATCACCGTGAAATTATCATGTGTGATCAGTGAGTTGTTCTGATGCGAAATATATTAGGTTCTTATGAAAGTAGATAGATACGTCTTACTAGAGAGGATGTCGTTTGAAAGTAGATACGTCGTACAGGAGAGGATGTCGTATGAAAGTAGATACGTCGTACTAGAGAGAATGTCGTATGAAAGTAGATACGTCGTACAGGAGAGATGTCGTATGAAAGTAGATACGTCCTACTAGAGAGGATGTCGTATGAAAGTAGATACGTCGTACAAGAGAGGATGGGTCGTATGAAAGTAGCTACGTCGTACAGGAGAGATGTCGTATGAAAGTAGATACGTCGTGCTAGAGAGAATAGATTTTATGAAATTGGATATGTCAGAAAGAGAGGATGTCGTATGAAAGTAGATACGTCGTAAAGGAGAGAGTGGGTTGAATAAAAGTACAAAGCAGGAGTAGATAATGACAGTAAAAATACATCACGAATGCATTACGGCTGAGCTTTCCTTGACTCGGATCGACAAGTTCTAGAACTTTGCCGCGTTTCTGGAACCGAGTTGTTGGATTCACTCAAAGCATCGCGACCATTTGAACTGAAGAATCCTACAGACGGGCCCAGCAGCCTTGCATTACGAAGATTACGACCACAATCCGACATTCCTTCTCGGCGCTGCCAAGAAGAAACCATTTCCTCAATCGATAAGAGGCACTCAGCATACTCCCCCCGCCCGAGTATTGACAATTCAAAGCCTTGCTAAACGAAAATTTGATCAACATCCCGATAGCAAATCAACCGAACACCAAAGCAAACAGCGTCCTCCGCATCACTGAGAGAGAGAACCATTTTAAAATTCTAGATATTTAACTTCGAATGAATATGAACCAATGTTGGATTCACTATCTTTTTCAAGTTATATTGAGAAATACCAGTGAACAGCAGCGCCGGAGTCTCAGCGGAGGCCGTACGAAACTGTTACAATCAGTCACGCTGACCGCTCAACCTTTTCATAGCAAGATTTTTAATAGTACACTAGATACAAATATTCAAACGTAATAAGTAAGCAAACATGCATATGATATAAACTATTAGCTAAAAAAATCATTACCAATAAGAAAAAACGAATAGTAATCAGTTCAACATTTAATTCATTTCAAAAATCGCTCGGTCGATCCGGAGAAATATTTTTGCTCCGCATGTCAAAAATGTCTTGAATTTGCAGTGCCACTTGAAAGTAAAATGCAGATGAGAGTAAATATTTATCCCTCGTATTCCAGCATTCGATTGGGCGAGAAAATTAAATTTATAAAGGCGTGCATGCTCTTTGTCTCAATTTCAAATAGTTAACAGATTATCCAATTAGGCTTATTTAAAAAATGCCAATGCAAAAAGTTAATGCAAAAGCGTTTATAGCCGGTAAAAATAAAATGACTGCTAATAGGCGCTCGTTTTTCACTTGGTATAACATTTCAGAGGTTAATGCCACACTCAGCTGGCACTTGAGTGGCTTTCATAATCCACTCAAGTCGCGGTTCCTCCGGCCAAGCCACTTAAAGGATTCAGACGCTCATGCGGCGGCCATAGGAGGCTTTCTTGCAAATGCCACAGTCTCCCGAGAGTAACTTGTCTCCTCAATCTTACTTGAAGGTACAGCCGTAAATACCACAGCCTTTCAAGCCTTGCAGTTCATAGCTGATCTATGAACTGCAAAAAAATGAACCTCTAAATGACCAGTAAAAATAAATGCATCATGCAAATTTGGAAGAGAACACCTGGGTTGTTACTTGAAGGGCAACAACGAAGAAAAAAACGAAGTAGATTTTCTACGTTGATTTTTTCGATTTAATTATTTTTTGTGTTTCCAGTTCTTACATTGCACGAACTTATTATCAAACGTTTCTGCCTCACGATCTCCAACCTTCGATCGTGTAACATTCTTCTCGAAAAAATAAATCCAACAGCGATGTCTAGGAATAGTTTTTATTCAACTTTTTAACAAGTCATACATTCCTCGATCAAAGTGATTGTTAAATTAAATAACAATTGTTATCTAAACATTTTCTAGAAATTTAGATTGTTAAAATCACAAGCTTAAACAAGGCTGAGAGAGAGGTTTAAAAATGTAACTAATTTAATAAACTTAAAAAAAAAATAAAAAAAAAAATATTCCTATTGTCCTATATATATTAAAAGCTCAATAAACCCTGCTTTGAACTTTCACATTACGCCTGGTGCCTGACAACATATATAGTTTGAGCTTTTTCGGAGGTACCGATCTTTCTTTATTTCTTCGTTAAATTAGTGAACAACCCAAATTGTTGGCAATAAATTGAAATAAAGTTGAAATTACACGAGTTTACTTTCAACTCGTCTAATAGCTTCCAAGTAAAATTTTATAATGGGGGTTAATAAACAAAAATTGGTGTCCTAGGTTGATAAATTATTCCTTCTTAACTAATAATCATACTCAAAATCCTAGCTTAAGAATCATCTAAGTCCCTGCCATTCGTAGACATGGTCTCTTGAAAGGTAACAACAAAGAGATAATACTCTTTCCCCAGCGACTTTACTTTCATTTTCCATTACAGACTCAAGTTACAGGGCGTGCCACGAGGCTCGTCTCGTGGGACGAAATAATGAACGTAATTCATCCCTGTGATGCTAAGCGCTTTGCTCACGAGAGGCCCGTAGCTTAGTGACGTTGTATCCTAGATAATTAAATTAAACTAAAAAATTATACTCTCATTGCTATAACAACTCCGAGTAATCATTCTGTAATCGTATTAAGAATAATAATCGTGCGAGTATAATTGTATTTTTAAACCCGCATGTTCAGTGCTTCATGGGGCTGTAGACTTAGAAGAATTTTTTAAAATGTTTGTTCGAATAGCATGCATAGTGTTAGCTGATGCAACTGAAAATTAATATTAGGTGCAGTCATTAAAGTTTACGATTTGAAATTATAAATAGACTTGAATTGATATTGTATAACTTATGTTTATAATCACCATTGTACACATCTTTCAATGAAGTATGTAAATGTTAATACGAATTTCTAGCTGGCGGCCGAGGCATAATTAAAAGGAGCGGCAGAATCATGCATA